TTCGTACATACTGGATCCCTTGCTCAGGGGTGCAGCTGGCCTGAACGGCGCCTTCGTACAAATTAGGAGAAAGCACTGGCCCTGGCTGCAGCGCTGTTGGCGCAGGATGTGGCAGTGAGGGGACCCCTTGCTCTGGGGGACAGCGGCCCACCCGGGAGGTGGGGTGGACAGTGGACCCTGGATGAATCTGCCCCCACTTGCCCCTGGGGCTCTCTGCACTCCCAGACACACTGGCCCTGACTCGTCACACTGGGTGACCTGTTCCCTATTAGTTTGCTGGAGCAGCTGCGTGACAAAGTACCACACACTGGGCAGCTTCAACAACAGACATTTGTCGTCTCCCAGGCCTGGAGGCTGCACGTGTGAGACCAAGGTGCCAGCAGGGCCGGTTCCTTCTGAGGCCCCTCTCCCTGGCTTGTTGATGGCTGTCTTCTCCTGTGTTTTCACACGGTCATCTCTCGGTCTGTGTCAGCAACCTAATCTCTTCTTATAAGGATACCAGTCACATTGGATCGGGGCCCACCCTAGTGACCTCAGTGACCTTAATCACCTCTTTGCAGGGCCAATCTTCAAAAGCAGTTGATGTACTGGGAGCTACAACTCCAACTGATGAACTCAAGGGGACCAATTTAGCCCATAACACGCTCTGAAGGCTTCTCAGCGACTCCCTTGAATTGTCTATGTGTAAATAGTATCTCCTACAAACAACGGTAATTTTATTTCCCCTTTTCTAACATCCTGCTAAGAACAATTTTTTTTTAAAAATTTGTAAATAAAGCCAAAAGGTGGCTGCTGTCCTTTCAATGTCATCCTGGAGCATTGTCTAAGAGGCCTACCTGAAGATTATTTAATTCTCCAGGGGAACGAATCAATGTTTGACCCACTGTTTACCAAGTAGAGCCAAGACTTTGTGAAATTTCAAGTGAACTTGCAGATTTTCGCTCAGTAGGAATGCAAATGGTGCCCGACTCTTAGAAAAGAGGACTCCAAACCTATGGCGCTCTCACCCTGTACGAACCAGTTTTGCATCTAACCCAGCCATCTTGGTTCAACATTCTTTCTCCATTGCTTACAAATGTCCAGTCCCCCAAATGCTCTTTACCAGCTTAGCCGTCTTGTTGGTTCTCTCACTAATGAGTGAAATAAATCATTACATGTGTTCGTTCTTTGTTTGTGGGAGGGTCTTTCTTTGTGTCACACTCTGACAGATTATCCATGCATCCTGTGTTGAAGGCCGACCCAAGGAGCATCGATTTGTCTCTGAAATTATAGCTCTGTTTGTCTCTGAAATGTTTTCCTTTAAGCATTGTAATAACCCACTACAGTATACTCATCATCCATGGTCCTCACGCCCTGAGAGTTCTGCTATACTTTCAGCCAATGAAAGCAGCATGCTTTTGCCCACGCCCGTTTCTTTGATCATATATGGTAATGGTAACCCCTCCCAGCCAATGAGCTTGCTGCCTTTGCCCTGAGCTGAGGAATTCTGCAACATGGCGGAGTTGACGGATCCATTCCATGGCTGTGGAACGAACTTATTCTTCTATTTACTTTTTCTTGTGGCAAATATTTCTGACCTGTGTTGGCTGGCGAAAGGTATGCAAGTGATGGTGCTAGACCCAAGGCAGAGAAACACAGAGGAGCAAGCTACAGATTAAAATGCAAATGTATTTAAGGAGATGCAGAGGCTGGGGACAAGCGGGTAACAGGGGCATGGTGGGCAGAAGGCCTCAAAATCAATGACCCAGCGCTTCTTCCACACCACTCAGTCCCAGGCACACGCAAACCTTAAGATGGAAGAGGTCAAGCTATCATGGTGTGCATGTGTCACCCGCTGTGAAGATCCAGGACGACTCCCATAACACAGCCTCTCTGTGCCTCCCCAGGCCAAATGGTTCTAGGTTATTCTTGCCCTCCCTTCCCTTACCGCCCCCTTCGCTTCCCTTCCTCCCTCGCCCTCTCCTCACTTCCTCTGTCCCCATCCGTCCCCTTTCTCTCTCTCCTGTCGCGTTGGCTGTGACTTAACCTCAGTGGTCAACAGCAGGGGAGGAGAAGGCAGGCGCTGACCCCGAGGGGAACACTCTAGGGTTTCGGCACAGAATGCACTGTTCGCTGTTGGTTTCCGAGACCTGCACATCATAGAGCGAGGATTCAGATAGAATTTTACGGTTGACTTTTACTTTCCTTTTTCTTGTGGACTCGTCAGTGAGAAGGACGACAGTGTTTCCAAGGGCCATCTTCCCACCGTCCCTTCCCCGGAAGCCAGGCAGGGCCTGCTCTGTCCCCTGCAGAGGAGAAGGCCAGACCCTGTAGGGAGGCAGCAGGGTTATCTGAGGAGGCTGGGAAGGAGGCTGCGGGCTCCTGGGCTTGAGGCCCTTGAGTGCTCGCCCAGGGTCTCGGGGGAGTGGTCCCCAACAGAGAAGGGACAGAACCACCAGTAGGCAGCTGTCCTGGTCACTCTTCCCAGGCTGCCTCCCACAAGATGCCGATGCATCAGGCCAGGTGCCCGAGCGGGGAACCATCAGCTCAAGGCTACGAGGGCCTTGTAGGGTGTCACCTTCTAGAATGGGCCTCCAGGGCTGTGTCGTTTCCTTCTTGCAGCTACACTCCCAGTTCCCTATCCTGTTCCCATCCCTTTGGCTTCATTTTACTCTGCTCCTACCCTTTGGAGACGTTCTCCCCTCAGTCACCCCTTGTCACCCTGAGGAGGTGGGGCCATCATCCCACGGGGCTCCTGCCCACTTCCCCAGGGTGTGGGGCTGAGCCAGCACAGGGCCGGGACCCGACTCCCAGTGGCACAGGCTCCAGGTCACCCCAGGGTCCTTCTCCAGTTTCCCCAGAAACCCTTCAGGGTCCCTTTCCTGCTTCTGGATCGGGGTCCAATTGTCCACTGCCTACACCTTTGTTTATTCCCATAGCTAATTTAAGTTCCCCATTATTTAGGTTTACCGTTTCTCCTTTTTGCGCTCTCTCTCCTTTAGCTCAGTTCCCGCCCTCTTCACTTTCACTTTTGATTACACGTATTTGGCTGGTCACTCTTCGCCAAACACGCCACACCGCTACTGACCTTCCCAAGGACGTTTGAGTGCTCCCCAGGGGACTTGGGGATGTGTTTCCATGCTGGGGGCTGGGAGGGGGAGGGAGAGAGAGAGGGCACGAGAGAGAGGGAGAGGAGGAGAGAGAGAGAAGGAGGAGAGGGAGAGAGGAGGAGAGAAGGAGGGAGAGAGAGATGTCCGCCTTTCCCCGGCGTTCCCTCCCTGTAGGTGACTCAGTCTTCATCGTCTCTACCCTTCACTGTGTCACCAGGTCTTCCATCACTGGAACCAGCACCTTATGCATCACTGGGTTTTTCTTTCCATGTGAAGAAGCCAGAGAGACGATGGAGAAGATGAAGCTCATTTCATCCGCCTTCCCTTCTCAGGTGCAGGGCTCCCTGTACGTTGACACCTGCCCAGGGTGCTGGTTACAGCACAAAGCTCGATCTGCCTCTTCACAAAAGCACCAGCATGAGCCAGATGCCAATTCTGTGGAAATATGAAGCTCATGACAGTGTGCGGCGGATGTTGTAAACGGGGTGAAAGGGTCTCGATTCCTTGGAGGAGCAGTGTGTGGGGTCAGAGGATGAACGGAACCCCCTCACTAACACAAAACACATTTAAAGACAAGATTGACTTCCTTTTCTATTTGGAGTTGCTACACTCTTTGCCATCCCCGTGTGGACTTGAAGACACATGTACCTTTTAATCTTAGTGATTGTTTTCTTTGAATTCTTCGTTCATTTATTCTTTCAACAAATATTCCCAGACCACCGATTATATTGCAAGTGCTCTGCTAGAGTCTGTGTGAACAGCAGTGCAGGGAGGCATCGCTGCCCTTGTGGAGCTGACTTGACAACGGAGAGAGAGAGAACAGACACATGGATGAGTTTTCTGTTCCTCCTGTAACAAATTACCACAAACACACTGGCGTCAACAGCACAAATATATCATCTTACAGTTCTGGAGGCTGGAAGTCTGATATGGGTCTCACGGGGCCAAAATCTTGGCGTTGGCAGGGCCGCTTCCTTCTCCCCTTCTCTGGGGGAGGGTCTGTTTCTGTGCCTTTTCCAGACTCTACAGGCTGCCTGCAATCCTCGTCTGTGGTCCCCTCCTCCATCTCCAAAGCCGGCAGCACACACACTGCTCCTTCTTCTGTAGATGCAGGTCCCTCCGACTCCCTCTCCTTCCTCCCTCTTCCACTTTCAAAGACTCCTCTGGCTTTACACCTGGCTCACCTCGTAATCCAGAATCATCTTCCTATTTCAAGACCAACTGATTAGCAAACTGACTTCCCTTTTGCTATGTAACCTAGCCTGTCTACAGGTTCTGGAGATAAGGATGTGGACATCTTTGGAAGGCCGTTATTCTGCCCACCACACAGTAAACACACCCCTCTCAGTCAGTGCTGTATCATCAACTGTGACAGGCGCCATGCAAACAACAAACGTGGTGCCGTGGCAGAGAGCCACAGATGGGACGGCCAGGAAGGCCTGGCTGAGGAAGGGACACTGTGATGGTTCGCTTAAGACAGAGAGAAGGCGATTAGGCAAGAAAAAGAAATAAAAGCCATCCAAATTGGAAAGGAAGAAGCAAAACTTTCTCTGTTTGCAGGTGACATGATCTTATACATGTGTGGAGGGTTTTGTTGAAAAGCCAGGAGAAACAGCCAGTTGAAGGGAGTTGTTGAATTCAGTAGGTGGGAAGAATAGTTTAGAGGAATAGAAATGTGGGTCCTAAGGCAATCCATTCTATTTCAGACAGTTCAGAGTTTAGATTTCCCTTATATCAAATAAAAAACCAACTTTCCTGTAGCTTCCAACCACTGGTCCTGACGCCCTACCATGGAACCCTACGGAAGAGGGATGTCGACACAAAGTTCCCTCAACTGTTCTCTACAGAGTGTTTTGTTTGCGTGTGTGTTCATTTTTCGTTTGTTTGTTTGTGTTTTTTTTAGCATTTTCAGACCATTTTTTTTCCTGATGGAGATTTAGGTTGCCCATGTTCCTCCTTCAACCAGAATTTCCAGCAACGACACGATTCTCCATGTGGGGGTATTTGATCTGTTGGTCCCAGTTATCCTGGTTCTGAAGAAATTGTTGCCCTTTGGCATACATAAGCGTGAGTAATCGACAGTCCACGCAAATAGCAAATTTCCACAACAATTAATTACATTTCTAAAGCGCTTCCTGATAAAATTCACATAGTGTTTGCGTGTGTGCGCCAAAACCAAGCCCTGGAAAAGCCGGATGGACGGGTCAGACCCGTTTGGCTGAACAGGAGGAGGCCAGAGGATTTATTAAACCTCAATCTCCGTGTTGTGGATTCTTAACCGCTGCTGACAAACCATGGGGTGATGGAGAGACTGGAGACAACCCAGGCTAGCCCTCATTGAACAGACGAGAAGAAGGTGAATTGTCCACACCCCGCCGGCAGCGAAGCCTGCGTCTTCTCTAACAAAGATAAGGATTCTGAGCACCGCGTTCCTGTCTGTCTCCCCTGCAGTTCCCTGAGGCTTCTGAACCTGGAAGGCAGGGTCCCCACTCCCAGTGTTCGCTGCTGTGTTGTGGGGCCTTGTCTGTGACCAATATGTGGCATCTTCTAAATATACATTGAAAATTGTTGGATGAATGAAGAAATGAAGGTAAGGTGGAATGATTCCTGCTCATGCGTATTTTCCCTACAGTAGACAGACTCTATATTTCTAGAACCATCTGCTTAGACCAATTGATGCTTCCAATGACCCATAACCAATGTGCCAAGAATTCTTTGGATGTCCCCAGATCTGATAATTGGGACAAAGGCAGACGAACACCCCATTAGACAATCCCCAATGCCCTTGCTGCTTTCTAGCACCATATCAAGGTCACCGATTCATTTAAAGAATCCCAAAGGGCATTTGACCTCAATTTTTATAATTTCCTCACTGAGATTCAAGAGAAACTTCCTCGCTGTTCCCTATTATCCCTTCGTTGCTCAGAAAAGTTAAAGTTTAAATGGCAATTCTCTTTAGAATTTAATATCTGTTCCCAAACATTCTCGGTTTAATTGCTAACTGATTCTTGAGAAAATTGAATCACTATATTACATTGTTTTCATGCACCAATGGCCTGGGAAAAGTTGGCAGCGGCCCCCACTAAAGTTAACAATGTCTGTGTATCAAGCTGTGAGTGTTTTATTAGAAAAGTTTCTAGCCAAGGTTTTCCTTCTTTTATTTGTTTATTTTTTTGTGAGGAAGACTGGCCCCAAGCTAACATCTGTTGCCAATCTTCCTCTTTTTGCTTGAGGAGGATTGTCACTGAGCTAACATCTGTGCCCATCTTCCTCCACTTTGTATGTGGGGTGCCGCCGCAGCGTGGCTTGATGAGCGATGAGTACGTCCGTACCTGGGATCTGAACTCGCGAACCCTGGGCCACCGAAGTGGAGTGTGCAAACTGAAGCGCTATGCTACCAGGCCCGCCCTGGTTTTCCTTCTTTCTAATTTTGGTTCGTTTTCTCTGTTTACATCCAAAAGCCCTGAATCTGATCAATATATGTCAAAACCAGGACTTTAGTATCTAAACTCCTCTTCAACTGCCTTTGTAGTTGTTGCCACTTATCTTTTCAAGGCGTGAAGGAGCGTGCCAGAAAACCGGGGTGAAGCTGTTGTGGTTGAAAGAGAGCGGATTGGTGGCCCACAGACCCAGCTCTTGGTCCCCTTCTTCCCAAGGGGACACCTGGCCTTGGAGCCGTCACCTCCCTCCCCGGATCCACGTCCTGTCTGTAGAGTAAAGGGTTGAGGACCATCAATGCTTACGGTCCAGGCTTCCACCCAGAAGAACTCTAACCTCCAGGAGAAAAACGCCTGCTGATGCTGTACCACAGAGCAAGAACACTGCAGATGGACCAGGGCTTGTTACTTGGACACACAGCAGCCACGAGTCAACTGGCTAATTCTTTTTCCCAAAAACAAATCTGATGTTTTCACTTTCCAGTAAAACCCCCCAATGGCTGTCCAGGGTCAGAGGGTGCTGTACTCTGCCATGTGGTGTGTTGAGAAAGTGGTGCTTGTCTCCACCTCTCTCTGCAATGTGACCTGTGGCTCCCGCCATCCAGAGGGGAAGTCAGCATCCATGCCCTGCATCCGGCCTGACCCTGAGGCTTGCCTTGGCCCACAGAGTGCAGGGGAAGTGGGGTGTGTTGGTGCAGAGCAGAGGGTCAAGGGCCCTGTGGCTCTCCTGTCTGCACACCTCAGCCTCCACCACGAGAACAAGCCAGGGTGAGCCTTCTGGAGGATGACAGACCACCTGGGGAGCAGTGAAACTACCCCAGACTGCCAACCACTGGCCAGACTCAGGCTAAGCTCAGGGGGAGCCCAGTGGAGATGAGAGGACTCTGCCCAGGTCAGTGGAGCTGTCTCGTCCACCCTCAGACGTGTGGGAAATGATGAATAGTTGTTGCTTAAGCCATTAGGCCTGGGGATGCTTCTTACAAGGCAATAGCTAACTGATGCACTGAGTATGACACATGAGGCACTCCAAGATGTGGCCTGAGCTTTCGGTTTCTTCTCAGGCCAAACCTTCCCCAAATCTTCACTCCACAGGATAAACACCAACACTCTGACATCCCCCTAACCATGCCCAGTCCTCTGTCCTGTGTCATCACTCTGCTCTCGAGCTGCCCTCAGTCTCTGCAGCCCCCCTTCCTAGGTCTGCTTTGCAGACACCTTTTCGTCTTGAGTCTCCGTAGGTGCCCCCTCCTCTTTGAGGGCCTCTTTTCTTTCCAGGAAAAGTCGGCCAATCACCTGATTTCTTGTTGTTTCCCCAGCAAACAAAGATTAAAATATCTTTCGATCTCTTCTTGATTTGCAAGTTTTTCTGTCTTTTCTGGCCTGTGAGCCCCTCGGGGGCAGGGACTAACTGTACCCTTCTCTGGATCCCAGTGCCTATGTCAGGCATACAGTAGGCGCTCAGTACCCGTGGGACTGTCAGCACTCCTGGTAGTGGTGGCATCAGTGCCCAGTGCTTCTACAGCAGTGACTTTTACTGGGCCCCCCTGGGGCCGCCGAGCTTCCCGTTTCAAGTTACTGGTGGCTGGTTTGGTGGGAAGAGCGTGGGCCCGGGGACGGGCAGCTGGCCTCCCTGTGGCTCTGTGTTCTCCACATAGCACTCGCGTCTCCGGGCCTCAATGCCCTCAGCTGTTGTATGGGTCCCTCTGCACCCCACCTTCCCTCTTCTCCACCTTTTTACTTCAGCCGTTGATGGCAAACCCCTGTGTACGGGTATGTCCGGGGGCTTCTCTGCTGCCGGATGCCCCGCTTGGCCCTTCTGCACACCCAGCCCACGGGACCTCACGCCCAGTGGGTCCTGGACCTGGAGGACAAACATCCCCGCAGTGCTGGCCAGCGCCATCCCACCCTTGGATCTGCATCCCCTTCTCCCGTTTCGACCGTCTCAGGCCTTCCTGCCCCTGGGACTGCTTTGCCAAGTAGACCACCCACTCCTAAGTCTGTGACTCAACTCTGCCTCTGGAGGCGCCCAGGATAAAGAGAATGTGTCAGAGATGGCAGGCCCTTGACCTCCGGAGCTTCAGTTTCCTCCTTGCTGAGGTGGGGGGTGGGGAAGGCTGGCTGAACTGAGAGGCTGTCTGTGAGCATCTGGCTCTCCAGGTGCCACTGCTGCCCTGACAACCGGCTCTGGGAGCCCCAGACGGGCTCCGTCTTGGTCCTTGACGCTCTCTCACCCAGCACAGAACCTGGTATGGCATGGTCGTCACGCACAGGTGCAGAAAGAGAAGGCCGGCACTGCAGCCCACTGCCGCCTCTGAGCACAGCCCCGGGGAGAAGCTGCCGGAGCCCTGCCAAGCCCCAGCAGGGCCTGAGTGTGGCCGTGCAGTGACCAAGCTGTACCACTCAGGGCTCCTGTGGCCTGCACGAGTGACAAGGTCTCTGCGTGCAAGCAGAAGTGTTTCTGCCACCGTGACCCACCTCACAGCAACTTTCCCGCATTCCCTTTTCCTGGCAAACTGAGTTTTAATGTCCGTATTAGAATCTGCTACTGTTTACCTGATTGTGGCCCCTATGAACGAGAGTGGACTGAGATGGAAGAGGTGGAAAATGTATTTTTCCTTCTTCTCATCCCACCTACGAAGCTCTCAGCTTCTGGAAAATTGAAAATGGGGAAATTATCTTCTTTTGTAACCTAAGTCCCTCCGTGACTGGTGACTGACAGTTAAAGGGGAGGAGGCGGGTGGCTGGGCAGCTCCTGGGGTGGGTTGGAAAGGAGCCAGCACGGTGGAGCTGTTTGGGAAGGCGACGGGCGGGACACCTGGGCAGCAAGAACGACACCCTGCAGACCAGCTGTCAGACCAGCTCTCAGGCAGCCGCTGGGCTGTCGGGAGGTTTGTGGTCAGGTCTGTAAACGCCTCGCCTCCAGCTTTTTACAAGTTGGGGCAGAATCTTACAGATCATGCTGTGCGTGTCCCCTGAGCTGGGCTGTAGCCTGGAACGACAGAAATGGCTACTCTGTTTAAGGAAGGCTCTTTCATCATATACGCTTTTTAGAAAATATTGTGATCAAGTGTTCATAACTTAAAATCTACCATTTTAACCATTTTTCGGTGCGCAGTTCAGTGGCGTTAAGCACATTCACGTTGTTGTGCAGCCATCCCACCATCCATCTCCAGAACTTTCTCATCTTCCCAAACTGGAAGTCTGTCCCCATTAAACACTCACCCCCATTCCCCAGCCCCGGCACCCACCTTTCTACGCTCTGTCTCTGTGAATCTGATGACTGCGGCCCCTCATGGAAGCCGGATCGTACACTATTTGTGTTTCTGTATCTGGTTTGTTAGCACGATGTCTTCAAGGTTCACCTATGCTGTAACACGTCAGAATTCCTCTCCTTTGTAAGGCTGAATAGTACTCCTTTGTGTGGATACATCGCATTCCATTTCCCATTCATCCCTCGATGGACACTTGGGCTGCTTCCACGTTTTAGCTGTTGTGAATAACGCTGCTCTGAACACGGCTGTGTGAATATCTTCAGAACTCTGCTTTCCATGTTTTTGGATATATCCCCAGAAGTGGAGCTGCTGGATCCTATGGGAGTTCTCCATTTATTTTTCTGAGAAATTGTTACACTGTTTTCTTCAGCTTAAATATGCCTTTTTTAATTGGAAAAATGATCTCTGATTGAGTATCATTTGGGGAATTTTGATCAGCGTGTGCACTGAGCGTGTGTATTCCCATACACTTTTAATGTGGAAAACAATTGTCTTTTCTCTCAGCTACTGAAGAGCAAGCCCCAATTCCTCACACTTACAATGTTTGCATCTGCTATTACAAATGGTGTTTGTGGGAAGCATTTTTGAATTCCTCCTTTTAGGTAAGAGAAGCCCATGAAAAGGAACCCGATTAGAGAATGAGCGATAATGGAAAACATGACCTTCTTTTTATAAGGCTTAACCTTTTTAGTAATCAAATTAATGTGGTGTGTGTGTGTGTTTTTTTTTTTTTGCTGAGGAATATTTGTCCTGAGCTAACATCTGTGCCAATCTTCCTCTATTTTGTATGTGGGTCACTGTCACAGCATGGCTGACGAGTGGTATGTCCGTGCCTGGGATCTGAACCTGTGAACCTGGGCTGCCGAAGTGGAGCGCATTGATCTTAACCACTAGGCCACAGGGCCAGACTCCAAATTAATTTTTAATAGGTAATAATTCACCTGACACAAAATTCAAAAGGTATGAAATGGATACCATGGAAAGAAGCATCTTTCTCAGCCCAGTCCTCATCCATCCAGAAGTTTCCTTTCCCAGACGCTCCAGACTTACCAGCTTCTTGTGTCCCGGGTACATCTATGCATATACAGCCAGGAACATACATACTCTTTCCTCCTTTGTTTTGTCTCGTTAATAAAGCAAGCAACACCTGATTACACACTGACTCTATGCCCCAATGGCGAGCCTTGAGGACTTGTTTACACTGCTTCATGAAGGGCTGTCACATTCTTTGTCGCAGTGACACAGCCCTCCATGGCTTATAAATCATTTTAAAGGGAAATTGTTCTTTAAATATTGTGTTTCTGATTTAAATGAGGACCAAGGCTCTAGTTGCCTGAAGCCTCAGGGACGGAGCAGAACAGCTCAAAAGCAACTGCCAGGAAGACCTTTCTGGGGAAAATTGCCTTGAAATGTAGTTTTTAAAAAAAATCCTTTTATTGAAATCTAATTTAATGCAGAAAAGTGCCCATATCATCTGTGTGGAGCTCTTAAACTTTCATAGACTGAGCACCCGTGAAAACAGGATTCATATGAAAAATGGGACGCAATCAGCATCCCAAAGAGAGACATTTTAGGCAGGGGGGTTTCTCTGTGTTGTTTGTATCTGAGGTGTTGGAATTGCAACCCCGGGGCAGGCTGGTTTGGTCTCCAAGGTGTTTGGGGAACCATGTTTCAGTCGGCTCTACACCTCCCTGATGGATGGAACCTACCCCAGCCCCGCCTCTGTTGCCCGGGACCCCAGGACCGGGCTGGGGACCGGCTGCATGGAGGAGACGGACCTTGGTGCCTGAGACCCTGTGCAGTCCCGTGCCCTCCCACCTAAGCTAAGAACTGCCTCTCCCCGGGGTGGAGGGCTTGGGCCCAGGCTCCAGAACCTCCTGGCTGTGCGATCTCAAGAGCCTTACGTAAGTGTCCTGGACCAGCGTGCCCTTACTTGTAAAATGGGGGTAACCCTGGGGCAGGTGGTTGATGGAGCTGAGATACGATGCGAGCTGCGGCACATGGTGTATCTGCCTAAAGAATGGATCACGCTGTCCTGCACGCACAGTCACACGGTTTGGTCATGGCTGCCACTTGATGGTGTCAAACCTAACCCCTCCGCTTCCTGGCGCCTCCCACCGCAGTGAGAAAGGAAGACAGAGAAAACCAGTGCAAGGGCGGTTGGTTGTGTAGCGAGGCTGCTGGGCCTGCCTGGCTGAGAGTGGGGCTGAGGGGCGCTGGAGTCTGTGTACGTAGCGCCCCAGGACCCCAGAGGACCTTCTACGGATGCTCTCCCCAGTGTAATCTTGAGCAAGCCCAAAGAGGGGGAGGAATGGGGGCCCTAGGAAGCTCCTGGATCTGAACCCCAGAGTGTGCCCCCCTCCTGCATCCCTCCGCGTGCCTGCAGGGCTGTACAAGGAGCAGGTGGGGCTCCTGCGGTCAGGGCTGCCCCTGGGCAGGTCCCTCCTTGGTCATCACTGCCCCGGCCCCCACTGTGGGAGCAGCCTGCCCCTCCCCTGAGGCCAGACCTTCAGGCTGTTCCTGCCACACCTCACTGCCTCCAGCTGCATCTACCCCGACGTAGTTTTGCCCCCATGCACTCCAGTTTTGTCCTGGCCAGATGACACTGCTGCCCCTCAGCTGCCGCCCGTCAGGCCCCTTCCTCTCCAGGCCCAGGAAAGCGGTTCTTTGGTTCTTTTCTCCTGGGGGTGAGGGCTGGTGCGCTGTGGGGGTGGCTGCAGATTCCCCAGAGATTAGTAAAGAAACATCAAAGCGTACTTCATGCTCTGGCCCACATCTGGCCGTGCAGCCGTCAGCCAGAAGTTGCAAAACAGGCTGGGGGCTTGGCTTGGAATGTCCTAGGGTTCTGTGGGGCTGCCGTGCCTGGGCGGCACTCTGGAGCAGAAATCGTCTCAGCATTAGGGCAACCCTGTGCGGGGAGAGACGCTGCACGCCCTCCTGTGTGGCTCTCAGGGCTGGGTGCTGGGTCTGTCTGGGTTCCAGGAATCAGGTGTGATGGGAGTGGTGGCCCCAGCGCTGAGATGCTCAGACAAATGGTGGGGAGACGATGGTGCAGACGGCAGCATCAGAACCAGAGGTGGGAGGGAGGGTGCTGGGGCCCGACCCCAGGCACCAGGCTGCGGTGGGCAGGACAGACTTCCTGTGGACCCCTCCTGCCCTCTCGGAAGCCTCTGGCCATCCTTTCCCAAGTTCCTCATGAACTTCCAGAGCTCTTTGGCTCAAAGTGATGGATGACAGAGTTATTTTGCTCAGGAACCTGAAGTCTGGGCAGGGCTGGGCACTGATGGCTCCTGTGGGCCCCACGTGGCGTCAGCTGGGGCTGCTCGGAGCCTACCATGGGCCATCTGAAGACCGGGGCTTGGTAACCCCGGCGGGGCTGTTGGCCAGAGCAGAAACACACAGCTTCTGATGTGGCTGGGGCTTCTCGCGACATGGTGGCGGATGCCAAGGGGAGCGTCCTGAGAGGGCCGGGCAGAGATTCAATTTATTAGTCTTAAGGGCAATAATTTGGGCTCCATGTTTCTTCTTTTTTCTCCTACTTTAATTGGCTCTGAGCTGGGGCGAGGAAGAAGGGTTCTGAGTATAAGCTGAAGACTTGACGCCCAATGCCCAGAGGTAGGAAGTCTGAGAAATGAAGGCGTGGAGAGGGAGGCAAGAATGCACAGGCGAGGGGGCTTCGCCTGGTGAGGATGCGTGGCTTCGGGCCTTTGGGTTCTGATACCTGCAGCACCGTGTGACCTCGAGGGTTTGCAAGCTTTCTGTTGGGCGAGGCTTTGTCTGCTGTGGCCTGGGCCAGAGGCTTCCAGCTCAGGCCGTGTTTTGACCTTGACGACCTTGACCATGACTTTGCCACCAGGCGAGGGATGGTCCAGAGAGGCAGGATGCACATACCAGGCCCCACCAAAGATGCTCTGGTCTCTGCAGAGGGTGACTGGCTGTGCTGGACCTTAAGGAAACCCTGAGATGTGTTCCAGCCGTTGGTTGCAACCCCACTCAGGCCGGCCAGACCCGGCCAAGGCTGCTGCAGCCTGCCTTTGACCGTAGGGGCCTCCCCTCTGAGGAGGTGTGGCTGAGGCAAGGGATCAGCTAAAGGGGAGACAGGGTTCTGTCCACAGGCTTCCGGGCCCTTAGGTGGAAGAAGGATGCTCTGCGGCTTTTCCTAAATGCGTTCCTTTAGGGCTGAGGGCAGAGGTCCTCATTGGCTCTCAGAAAGGACAGGAGGTGAGTGGTGAGTGCCAGGGCCATGGAGGCAGGCCAAGATTGCTCCCCAATTCCTTTCTGCCCTCAGGCCTGGAGGGAACTGCAGAGACAGTGGCCTTCGGTCCCCGTGGTCTGTCCCTGGGCTCCAGGTGACCCCTAGATATAAGGTCGCAAGTGCATTCAGGACTTATTGATGGTATGAGCTCTGACAAGGTCTGAACCTGTGGACTTTAGAGATGTGGAAATCGGCCCTGTGCACAGAAGGACAGGGAATTCTCATAAACACACAAACACAAAGGAAGCGGGACCCTCATTACAAGGGGACATGTGGACTCCCACTTCTGCAGGACGACGTCCTGGATGACCTGCTACTGTACAACGAGATCCTGGGCAGACAAGGAAAACTGCTTTCTGGACACGGCTGGGATTGTGATAAAGTGAATGAGTGTCTAAAGAGAAGCGGAAAAACAAGCTGTGAGCTGAGACGGGACAGGCGGACAGGTGAGTAAGAGAGGTGGGGCTGCCCAGCGGAAATCTTAACTGACCCATGGGTAAGAGAAAGGAAGCCGTGGGCCCTCGGTTCCTTTCGAGCCAGGACCCCAAGGGGAAGAAAGTGTCGGTGGTGCCTGGGGTCCCGGAAGAACCCAGCGAGAAGCCCCCCAGAGGCTGGTCTCTGTCTTAAGGCCTGTCCCTTAAGTGATCCTACAGATTCATGTCATCCTAATCTGAACTCATAATGACAAACCAGAAGGTGCACAAGCAGCTAAAATGAGCTGAAGTTTGCAAAAAGCCTGTTAGATTCACACCTTCAAGGACTGGAGAGATTGGCACGCTCAGATAGAGGATATAAAACAGCCATGTATGAGATGCCTTAAAAATAAAACGAGACAAAAAAAAAAAAAAGAAAGCAAGAGAGGTTATGGACGATAACCAAGTAGATGTGAAAGGAGCCAAATGGAACATGGCCTGGGGCCACGGGTCCCGGAACCAGTTCCAGGGCCTGGTCCTGCATCTGCTACCCAGGGCCCGCTCTTCTCTGTTCCCTGGAAACCAAACGATTGGAGAGCCCCCATAGTGGATGCAGCTTGATCCACACAGTGGGAAATGCGTGGGGCCCCACCCTGTCCACTACCTCTCCTCCTTGCCATTGTCTGGGACCGTGGCCCCTGCTGGATGCCACTACATGGCTGGAGGAATGCTGGCTACCTCGTCCTCTCCCATTTTTGGTGCACCTCAGCCCAGTCATCACTCCTGCTAGCATCGTCATCTCAGCAGGTGGGCTGCCATGACTGCACCTGACCTTCTCCTTTGGACGCGTTGTCCATCTCCATCGAGTCGAGTCACACGGGCTCCGGGTTAGACTTGGGAGGTGCTCTGCTCCCGTTCATTGGGAGGTGGTAGCCCACTGGGCACATGATGCCCCTCCCAGGCCATCTTGTCCTCTGCTCCTCATCCTCTCCTTCAGACTCTTCTCCACAGGGGCCCTTTCTGGCTTCATCCGTGAGGACGGCAGGGAGCTGCTCACGTGGAGAATTTTGCAGGTGCTTCTCCCCTCCCAGTCATCCTGAGATGGAGGAGTGCTCCGGGCTTCCACGCTGGGGCTGGTTCGGAGAGAAGCACGGAAGAAGACGGGGAGCGGGGAGCAGAGGCGAGGGTCCCGTCCTTCACCCCGATCCTTCCCCGGGAGGCCATGGGACATGGATGGTTGTCCACGTGGTTCATTGAGTAGAACATTTAGATGAGACTCTCGTGAATTCTGCCATCTTCTTCCGGTAAAAGGGAGGGAAAGCAGTAGAAATTCTATCTGCCAGCTTGATAACCAATGAGGAAATATCCTGAGTTCTTTCTGGGCCAGATTTTATTACCATCTGCCTTGAGCGCTCTGAATGGAGGTTGTCAGCTTTTTTCAATTCTGGTCACTGGGGCTGTGACGAGGAGCAGCTGTACATAATTCCTATTTCTCCCCAGACACCAGGAACCAGGGATTATTAAAATAGAAACCTCTAAAAAGGAATTTTAATTATGGCTATTGACTTCTACAATCAGTGTAACATTATTTAACATTATCTCTAATTTATTTTTGCGGATTATAGAGTTAACGTACACTTTGCATACTAGGTTTGGAGAGTATAGAAAATATAAAAGAAGCGGGAAAATGTCGTTCACAATGCCCCACTTGGCAGGAAGAATCTCAGTACGGGCCTCTGTCTATTCCTGCTGTATCTCGGCGGGATTGAGCTCTTTTCTTTCCGTAGCTGAGTTCATGATGCAAGCGCAGTTTGGTTCATGTTTTCCTGTTTCTTTTTCTTGATATTATAGCTTTTTTCCCCCGGTATCACTAACAACTTCCTTTCGACGGTGTTTAGCACTGGTTTGTGAGTTTCTGTTGTGCATGCTAACTTATTTAACAATTCCCTAAGTGAAGGGACGGCCAAGTTATTTTCAGTTTTCCACCTATAAATCCTGCTGTGGTAAATATCTTTGTGATTACATCTTGGTTTGCATTTCAGATTCTTTCCTGAGGTTGAACCGTATGGACGTGCTCAAGGCTCTTAACTCTTACTATCGAATTGTCTTCTGGAAACAATGCTGTACCAATGTAACTCTGTGTGAGTGAGGGCCCCTCCTACCTTCTTGGACGCTGACTGTTCAGCATAAATTTTAGCAGCAATTTTGGTTACAGCTATGTTGACAGCTGAGTTTATTCCAGATCTTTCTAAGTAAACCAGCATAACTATAAAGGAGTCCTTGGGCTCTAAAACTCCCATCCTGATCCATGTCCTTTCCCAGAACATGATGAGATGTGTCAGGCTCACGGGACGGGGTCCTCGGTGTCCTGTGCATTCCCAGTTCCGTGAATCTGTGGAGTTTTGCAATGGGCCCGTTGGGAAAGAAGAGGCGAGGCTGGGCAGCCTGTGGGAAGAGCGTCTGCAGGCGAGACGGGACCTGCGTGGAGCTCATCTGACGTCAGGCGTTGGCCAAATCTTGCTGAGTTGCATAGCCGCCCTGAGGCAGACCCGATAAGAACATTCCAGAAAGCAGACCTTCAGGGCAAGACAGGGGACTGGTAACAGGGAGCTCATCCAACTCCAAACAGCAACACTGAGAAAGCCCAGGCAGCTCCGGCAGCTGTGTGAGCCCCTCTCAAACCATGCACGTCCCTTTGATGAGGCCCCGGGGGGTAGGGGGACCTTAGGGGCGAGCTCTTGCTGAAGCAGCCGTGCATCCCTCACGGGGTCTGCTGGGCATGTCGATGCTGAGTCCTTTAAGGCTTGAAGTGACTTCAGAGGGTGTGTGCGCGTGTGTGAGAGGGCGTGGGTGTGTGTGTGAGCCAGAGAGAGATGTGCGTGTGTGCGTGTGGGTGTGAGTCTGTGTGTGCGTGAGTGTGTCTGCGTCAGTGTGTATGACTTCTGGGACATAAACCAACATTTGGAGAAACAAGAATCCTGTGGATTCTGCATAGCTGCAGAAGCCTCTCTTCAAGGGGCCTCCTTCCCGAAGATGCCAACTACAGACGCCCCTTGGAGGGTATTCGTGGGCACAGGAGGTGTGACCAGGGAACGTGCTAGAGGCCCTGGACCCCTCTGAGGAGCACCCAGACCCTCGGTGCTCATAGTGATGGTGAATCCGTCAATGACTGGGGGCATCGCTGTCTACGAAAGGCTGTCCTGGCGGCCGCTGGCTGAGTGTGGATCCCCCTGCACGCGCCCAGAGGGGCTCCGTGGACATCCATGCACTGGCTGGCTTTGCGGTCATCTTTCTAAATGCTGGCTCCACTTTCAGCGACGTCTTTCCAGGGGCCTCGAGTCAGGTTTCACAGGTATCACGGGCCCGGGTTTAGCATGGGAACCCCTGTTTGCACACTTGAACTTGTGGGACAGTGGGCTCAGCTCTTGGGTCGGCCTGGTCCCAGTTACTGGGGTGCAGTGGGGGAGGCCCCCACAGTAGTTCCAGCCAGGGCTGTGCACAGGCCGTGGATGGCGGTGCCCTGGTCCTCCCAACGCCATCTCAGCTGTTGCGGACCCTTCCTGCTGCACCAGGTCTTTCCTGATCCCTGCCCTGCGCTAGAGGAGAAACGGAGGCAAGTGGACAGCTACCTCCCTGGGGTCTCACGGGGGCTCTGCCTTGCCTCAGGGGTCTGGCCAGTCCTCACTGGACACCCCGTCATTTCCGCAGGAATCAAGATGGAGACCCGAAGGGCTGATCTCAGGCTAAAAATCCTCCTAGCTTCAAGGTAAATAACAGAAAGAGGTAATTTCCTAAAAGTATGTCTGAGTTGGCTGGATGGACGGACGGGAACTCTGGGACTTGCACCCTGCTTTGTTCCCTCAGAGGCACTGATGGAAGCACGTGCAGTCTCCCTGGCCTCCCCAGGCCTGTCCTGCGGCCCTCCAGGAGCAAAGCCACGGCCCCTGGCCCTCCACCCATAGCCTGACCCAAAGCCTGGCTCTGCTCCGGGTCCCCTGATAGGCCAACCCCCTGGGGGTAACAGAGCAGATGTGGGATCAGCCCCACCCAACCAGTCAGTGCCTCACTCCCCGGTTGACCTTGCTGCCGCCGGCCATTCCTGCAGGCATGATTCACCCAGTGGGTTGCAGGGACCTGCAGCCCCACCGTAGGGCGTGTGGCCCGCGGGCTGTGCCTCGGCGGTGCCCTCCCAGTTGAGGGTCCAAGCTCCCAACCAGGCCTTCCTGCTCCACTTCAGCACAGACTCCCTGCTTCTGAACTCTCAGAGGAGGGATGCAGGTTGAGCAATGGTCGAGCATCAGACACAGCGCTTGGTGTTGAGGCTGCAGGGGCAGGTGGCATCCGCCTGCTGTCACACAGCCTTCAAGGTAGCGAAGCTGAGATGCAAAGCCACGTTTCTGGGGCACTCTGATGGGTGAGCTGCCCGGGCCTGGGAAGGTGGGGGGCCGAGGAGAGTGGTCTGTCACACCCGGGAGAGTCCGGGAAGGCTTCATGGAGAAGGTGGCCCCGGGCTGGATATGGAGGATGGACAAGTGGGTGGAAGTGTTTAGACAGAGGGATGGCACCGGGTGGCCAGGGGCCCACACTAAGCTGGCTCTGCTAGAGCCTGACCAGCGTGGAGGACGGTGGCGGGAACTCTCCTGGTGCCTGTGTCAGGAGGGATCTCACGCGACCCCTGCAGTAACTTTGGTGTTATCCTGTGGCCTGTGGGGAGTCTTGAGGGCAACCTGGTAGGAACGAGCGATGCTCTTGTTACACATTCATTGGTGTTTTGCTTTCACAACCGTAACAGACACACCTGGCTGCACGAGTCCAGGAGAATAACGCTGAAGTCCCTCCCCTCTCGTCGTCTGACTTTCTGATGCCTACAGCAGGTTCGTGCCACAGAAGATCTATTTACAATTGAGCAGACACTTCAATATAAAAAAGTTACGTGCCCAGAAATCTGCCTTTCCCCAAATCGTATTATCCTGCTCTTAAATCTAGTGAATGTTATACAAAATGCAGTCTTGCTTAAGAAGTTAACTGTTGCTGTCTTAATCTGAGTTGAACAAATCAAATTCTGAGTTTTATTTACAAACTCAGCAAATTGAATTCCCTCCCACGTTTAAAACCGCTTTTCTAAGTGAAGTATATTTGATTTTCTCTCGAAGAACTTCAGATACCCAACGGGGCAAGTACAGACCCAACAAAGAAGTTTCTCCAAATTCCTGCCAATTAAAGAATTAAGTAATGGTCCTGCGTTCTCACAAACACCTAATCCAGATTTCTGCGAAACCTTTCACTTCCTTTAAATACCAAGTGTGCGTAGATTGGCCCTGCGCTCAGGAATAACCGCTGCCAAATGTTAAGTCAGCGGGGTTGGCCTCCCTGGTCACCTCGCCACCTACAGGGGCCGAGTGATGCCCCTGGGCCCCAGGGAGCAGTTGTGTCATTTTACTGTTTTACTGGGACCTGGGCACCTCGAATGTCCAGGGTCATTGCGCTTGCACAATAGAAAGAAGGACACACAAGTCGTTTCTCTGGTTGCCCTGGCAACCAGGGACTCCATGTCCACATGTTGGAGGGGGCTCTGCTCCAGTCGGGACCCCAGACAGTCCTTTCATGATGTCCTTTGCTGCCCGGCTGAGTCCTGCAGTCTCACTGGTGACAGCTCCACCGAGTTGCTCGTGGACATCCAATGGGGTCTCCACATCTCCGTGGGCTCCAGCTACCTCCACCTGCGGCCCCTCCATCCCTACCCCCAAGGGCATGGTCTGGGGACTCACGTCTGCCCTCCGACAGGGGCCAGAAATTCTGGGGAAACAGGAGCTGCAGAGACTCTGCTCATGTGACAGCCCAGAGAGAGAGTGACGGTCGGGGTCCAACCAACGGGTGCGGAGAGGAGGGAGGAGATAAGGCAGATTTGGGGGAAGGGGTCCTGGGGAGGTAAGCCCGGGAAGGACTTTGGTCGGCTTTGTCCTCTGCTGAGCCCAGCGCTAGAAATCGGTATCTGATTGTGTGTCTGAGCAGCAGGACTTTGGGTTGGGGAAGGAGAGAGGAGGAACAGAGAGCAGTCAGCTGTCGGGACTGGGAGAAGGCAGGTATGAAAGGGGCCTAAAGGGTATGTTGGAGGGGTGGGCTTGGGGTCCGGTAGACTGGGACAAGGGGCCATTTGATATGCGGGTCTGGAGCTCTGGGGAGAAGTCGGGATGTTGGCACCGACTTCTGAATCGTATCGAATGATGACGTTAAAGCACAAGGGGGCGTGAGCTGGCCCAGGGCCGCACGGGGTGAGGAGGTGACAGTCAACACCCAGGGTCAGGCAGTGGAGCAGGAGCCAGGAAAGAAAGCCCTAGAAGAGTCAGTCTGGGCGGGTGTGGGAGGAGCAGGAGAGCTCCATTCCCCACATTGGGGTGCTGCCCAATGAACTGGGGGCTGGAAGCGCTCAGGACCCCATACTGGGACTTGGGGGTGGGGTGGCATCCTAGACACTGCACTTTAAAGCAGCTTTCCAGCTGATCCGCACGACCACCCAGGGAGGAGTGCCTCTCTGCTCAGCCTGCTGTCTTTCCAGCATTTTCCCTGCTGGTCAGCTTCCGTACCCCCAGCATCCCTGCCTTCCCCTTTGCCTCATTTCCTCTGCTCTTTTTTTTTTTTTTTCCTTTTTGACCCACCCACTGCTTTCTGGTAAAATTTTCTGTTTCTTTTTATAAGGAGAAACCTGACATTCATTTAGCTCTTTCATAATGTTGGAGGGAGCTGAACTCGGCTGCACACGGTGTCCTATAATTAGGTCCCTGGGCAGCTTTAGAAAAGAAATAACCACATGTTCCCAAACGCTTTACAAAATTTCCTGGGAAAATGTGACCGTGTTTCTTTGGGAAGTCAGAGCACCCGCCCCCACGTGAGAGTCAGGGTGACGGGTGGGGGGCCTCCTGTGTCACTTCTCCTTGAGCTTTGCTGTGACCAAGACATCCCAGCCTAAAGGGCCCCGGGAGTGTGTTCAGGCTCCGGCCCTGCCCCCGGGTGGGGTCAGAAGCCCACAGTGGGCTCCTCCTCTACCCAGGAGAGGTGGTGGGAAGCCCCAGGACGAGGGGCAGGGCCACACCATCTCGCACCCTCCTTTCCTGCCCTGTGTAGCCCCATTTATGAGTTTCCCCCAGACGGAGCACATCAAGCCATGGAAGCGGGACCCCTCATCCTGGTGGTCTCTGGCTGGTCTGCTGCCCCACCCCTGCTGGGCTCAGCCAGCTTGCTGATCAGCCAGGAGACCCCTCATTCTCCAGGTTGACGTGGCAGTGGCCATGTGCAGACCCAGGCTCGGTGCCGAGAGGCCGTGCGGACCACCGCCAGAGGGACTGGGGCTCCCAGGTCACCCAGTTCAACTCTCCATTCAGCAGCATCCGGATGATTCCACCCCTGGCCACTGGGCACCCCCGTCATCAGAGGTTACTCAGCGCCTGAACAGTGGTGAATGTCTGAATGTCCTGCCACTGGGGAGCATCCTGGAGCCTGGGCCAGACAACTCACAGGCCTGGGCAGGACTTGGGCCCTGGAGACCCAGGTAGTGGCCTCCTTGCTGGGTGGCTGGCCTCTCTCTCCTCCGGCCTGAGTGTTCTCACAGCGACGCACGGTCCCTACCCAGCTGGGGCCTCCTCTTGCTTCGGTCTCCCAGAACCCAGTCTTGCAGAGCCGCCTCTGGCCTGAGTCCCACAGCCCCAGCCAGTGCCGTCTTGGTGCCACTCCTCCTACTTGCCTTGAGGGGAGACTGGACACGTCTCCATTTGCCCCAAGCACTGGAAGGCTGTGTCGGGGACTCTGTTTGGCTGTGGCCTCAGAGAGTTGATGCTGTGGGGTCCTCCATGCCACTCTGTGACGGGGATCTGTAGATGCAGAAGAGCAGCCTGTCCTTGTGTGTCCCTGGGAGAGGAGCAGACTCAGAGGGGACCCTGCGGAAAGCCCACTTGGTCACCCCCTGAGCCAGCTGGGAATGCGCTCAGCTGCAAGTAGCAGAAACACGACTTCGGAGGTGTGAACAGGGGGGGACTTCTGCTCACTTACCAACAGCTTCTGAGGGGTGGTGGCTGGTGCGGTCAGTGTTTCACAGCAGAAAGGAGGGTGGGGAGGACAGCATCAGCAGGGCACGCCCCTTTTATTGGAACAGCAAACGCTGATCAGGAATTTCCCAGCAGACTGCAGTGTCCGTCTCCTTGGCCAGAACTTTGCCACAATGCCAGCCTTCACTTTGGGGTCCTGGGGTGGCTGGGAAATGAGTAGTCAGCTGGGCACGCCATTCTGGAGCAGACCCAGGTTGTACTGGCAAGGACGAGGGTGGGCGGGCGCCCTGAGCTGGCAGCTGGTAGTGGCTGCCCCACGTTCGATGTCGTACATTGGGTTGCATGGCCCTCACAGTAGCCCCATGGCAGTGGTGGCACAGGAGTATTGCATTTTTGGCAGATGAGGGGACAGGGACTCAGGGAGGTTGAGCTCTGGCCCAAGGCCACCCAGAAGGAGGGCTGGAGTTTGGGTCCAGTTGGTCTGATTCTGTTCAGTGTTCTTCCAAGCACCCCACACTCTTTTCAGCTGTACTGCACGGTGACGTGCTGCCAACACACATATGCACACACACGTCCACGTCCACACACATACACACGTACGCACATATATGCATGTGCATGCACACACATCTGCATGCATACATGCGTGCATATGTATACACATAGCGTTTATCAGAAAGTGTTATCTAATTACTTATGGATTTATTTGTTTATTCTCATCTCATGCTACCCGAAGGCAAGGACCACACAGTGACTTCCTAAGAGACATCCCTCAGCCACAAGGAAGAAGCTGAGGGCTAAGGTCATGTGGTCTGGTTAGACTGTGGGTGAATTGCATTTCTACCCCTTACTCACGGGTGTCCCCCAAAATTGGTATGTGGAAACCTACCCCCCAAGGTGATGATGTTAGGAGGCAGGGCCTGTGGGAGGTGATTGGGCAGGGCCTCCATGAATGGGATTAGTGCCCTTAAAAAGGAGACCCCACAAAGCTCCCTCGCGCCTCCTGCCAAGTGAGGACACAGCGAGAAGATGGCCTCTGTGAACCAGGAAGAGGCCCCCACCAGACGCCTATCTGCTGGCACCTCGATCTTGGACTTCCAGCCTCCAAAAGGGTGCAAAATAAACGCCTGTTAGTTAAGCCTCCCAGTCCGTGGCGTTTTGTTGTAGGAGCCCGGATGGACTGTGACCCTCTGTGTGACCTTGGATAAACGCTCGATGGCTTCTTCCGCCTCTCTTTCTTCACCCGAAAAATGGAAATTCATTTATTCATTCAACAAATATTTACTGAGCACCTACTGTATGCTAGGCCCTGAGTGCTGGGAGACAACAGTGAGCTACATGAAACCTGCTTTCAGGGGCCGTTTATACTGGAGGCAAGAGACAAGCATGCCAGGTGGTGATGGCTGCCTTGAAGAGAACTCAGCAGGAGCAAGAGGGAGGAGAGTGTGGACGGCTGTCAAGGAAGCCCTCTGAGATCTGAGGGAAGGAAGGGATCCAGCCGTGGATACCTGGGTAGGAAGTGTCCCAGGCAGAGGGAGCAGTAAGTGCAAAGGCCCTGAGGCAGGAGCTATGGAACAGCAAGGAGACCAGCGTGGCTGGTGGGGAGGTCAGGAGGTCATAGGGCCATAGGTCATGCACCGTTTTGTGGGCCGCGGTAAGGATTTTGGATTTTGCTCTGAGTGAGGTGGGAAATTGGAAAGCCTTGAGCAGAGCAGTAGCATGTCTGTCTGATGTTTGAACAGGGTCACTCTGGCTGGGTGGAGTGTAGACTTACAAGAAAAGGTGGAAGTAGGGAGGTTAGGAGGTCGAGAGCTGGCAGCGGACGTGACCAGGCAGAGGATCAAATCCTGGGTGTGTTTTGAAGGAAGAGCATCAAGATTTGCTGATGGATTGTCTGCGGGCGTGAGAGGAGAAGACGACCGAGGCAGCTTCGGGGTCCTGGGCCGGAAGCGTGGGGCGCTGTTTACCAAGATGGGGCGCCGGTGGGAATGGCGGGTAGGGTGCGTGAAAGTCCAGACGGGTCTTGAGCACACCACATGCCATGGCGGCCAGGCGGCCATGCGGGACAGCAAGTTGGATGTTGGGTCAGGAAGGCTGGGCCTCGGGAGAGGTCTGGTCAGAGAGGGCGAGGGAACCAGTGTGCAGATGGTGTTTAACGTCGTGGCAAGGATGAGGTCACCAGGGCTAATGACAGCCTGTCCTGAGGTTGTCATGAGAATCAGAGTGTCTGATCCAGGCGTGCCTGGCCCGTAGGAAGCCCTGGAATGCTATCTTGAATAAACATAAGCGCCTGGCAGATTCCTGGAGGAATTCAGGTCCCTAGGGTGGAAACAGCCCTTGGCAGCTGGGTGGGAAGAGGCTCCTAGATCAGGACCCAGGGCTTGGTGGACGCAGAGCACGGGAGGATGCCTCCACCCCTCTGCCCAGGAGCTGCCCCGCAGGTGGTCAGGCCTCCGTCAGAGGAGCTGGGAGGAGCCCCATGGAGGTCCCATTCACCTGCCACACAGCCATTCACTGCGCCAGCTGCTGGGGCTCCCACAGCCATCTGTGACCACAGCTGCAGGGGGAGGGCAGTCAGTCCGCCCATCGGGACACAGCCACCCTGCAGCTGCAGGGGCATGAGAGGGAGGAGAGCAGGTGTGCATGCGGGTGAGTGCCCCGAGAGAGGGCAACTGGCCCAGATCTAGTGTGGCAGAGGGGCTCGGCCACAGAAGGCTCCCGTGGGGAGTGGCATGAGGTCAGAGGTGGTGGGACTGAACTGGGCAAAGAGAGAGGGCAGCCTGCATGTGAGGATCCACGACCTGGTGGGGTGGGCGCCCTCCGGGAGGGGCAGGGGCTGTGTGGCAGCTGGCCAGGGCTGCCTGCATTTGGCTGCTTCGTTGGGGCACCTGTGTCCTTTCTGCACACGATCCCTAACCCACCTGCCCACCCTGATCTTCTGCCTGAACTGCGAAGCCGTTTCTTGAGCTGCATGTTGCGCGTCTCCCATCGAATTAAGCCGTCGGACCAGGCAGGTCCCAAGTTCACGTGTGCGTGTCTGGGTGTGGATGCA